TTTTTTTAAAATACTCGACTATCTTTTTTGAAATACATGATAAGCGTTTTCCAAACACATGTTGAAGTTGCAATACAAACTATTAAAAAATATACATGTTGAATTTTTAGAAATACATGGTGAACATTTTATGAATATATGATGGAGACTTTTAAATACACGATAAACATTTTGTGTACATGATGAATTTTTTAAAGTACACACAATTTTTTACATACACATTATATTTTTCTAATACACTATGAACATCTTTTAAATACAAACAAATTAGTACATGGATATATTTTTTGTGCATGATGAATCTTTTCTAAAATAAATAAATTTTTAATACACAAAGAAAAGTAAGAACACATAAAAAAGTAACACACACACACACACACAAATATATAAAGCAGGAACTTACAAAGAAATAAAAAGGAAAATATTATTATTATTATTATTTAAAATAGTAAAAATAAAAGGAGGACAAACAAATAGAGAAATGGGAAAATAAAATAAAATTGCACCAAACTGAGAAAAAAACAAAAAAACACTATAGTTGAATAAAACTAGTCCCCAAGGTTTAAAAGAATTGGTCCCAAAAGAAACTACAAAACGGACGAAGCATGGGTTTGAAAAAATCAAACGAACAAACGTCTCCATCCTCTTCTCTCTACCTGTTGATCATGACCATGGTTCTTAATAGTGTGCAGCCCGATGACAACAATGGAATAAATCCACGCGTGGGAGTGCCCGGGCCGCCCCATTGAAGCACAGTTAGAAAACCTAACTAGACACAATTGAAGCACAATTGAAGCCAGATTTGGCCATCTCACATTCTACTTTAAGGAAGTCGACACAATATTACTTTGACAAAGTGACTTATCGCCACCGCACCCAAGTAGTGTGCTGCCCAACCTCTTAATTTAGTGCCAATGGGTACTCATGCTACACTTTGACTAGGTCATAATGCCATACACCAAAGAAAAGTGTATAATAAATGAAGAAGGCAAACTGTCAAACGAGGTAGTCGAGTGTTAGGTATTTGCGCAATTGTAGTAAACTGAAGCAATATGTCAATGAATAAGGGAGAAAGGGGAGAATAGGTCTAGCGGAAGTGTCATGGAAACGGGAGAGTTTTTCACTAAATGCCATTGTAACAATTCATCATTTTTTATGGTATAAAAAGGGAGAAAGTTTTGTTGGAGAATAAGAAAATTACACCGTCCACATCCAAATGCAAACTACAAATCATCTTTTTCAAAGATGTAATCTGGATTCAATATTTTCCGGAGATCAAAGTTAAAACAAATGGGTGCTAGTTATATTGTTATAAATTGATCAATCAGTAATGCAAGTGCCCATGAACTAGGGCTTGTATGTTTTCAGGAAGGTCTTTATGATGCACTAAATAATATATATTTGTCATAGATGTCAATGAATGTGAGCAGCCACATGACTATGGGTGCTTCGGCAAATGCATCAACACAATTGGTGGGTACAAATGTCAGTGCCCACAAGGAACCCACGGCAACTACACCATCAAGGATGGTTGCATCAAGTCTGCGGCTACAGGTTAGTACATATGTTTCAACTTCTTCAACTTCATTGGTAGCCTTAGATAATTTAATATTCCATCATTGGTTGTACAATACACATTTATTCTTTCATTTGACCATTAGTCCTTTTAGGTATTTGATATTTTTGTACAAAATACATTAGGGGCATGTCAAAGTATATAATAGCATATTAAAATAGGGTTACAAGAATTTACATACATAATGAGGGTCTAGATTATTAAAACAGATTCTTATGAAATAGATAAACATAGATCTTTTTTATGCATTTAACTTGTCTCCACAACACATAGACAAACAAAACCAGTTGTGAGGCTAATCTTCCATGTAATTCTAGGAACTTGTGTTCTCAAAGATTTTTCTATTGCATAGTTTCATATGTTACAAGATATATTAAGGGATACTTCTATGAAAAATGTTACTAAGGAAATTACATTTTGCATCAACTCTTACATTACCTGGCCGAGTGGGGCACGAAGCTAGTGGTCTCACACCTTAAGGGCATGCACAATGAAGATGATTAATCATGGGTGTCGAAAACAAAGAGAGGCAATATTGCCACATCATTAATCATATGCATAATAGTTAATCTCTGTAATGTAATTTGGTGGTTAGGTATACTCATTTTCCTTGTTAGCACACCTTAAAGCACCTGTTGTGAACTTAAGCATGTCTCCTTATAAGCACATGTGTATCATGTGAGAAACAAAACCTTTTTACAAAGCGACTATATTCTCCTCTTGAATTTCAAAACAAAGGTTATTGTCATGTTGGGAAAGTTGCATAAATTTTACAATCCAATGTCATCAGGAATAATCCCATAGAACGACATTTTCTCACACCTTTTAACCAACCAATAAAACCTTGTAGGGCAGTTTCTTTTAAAGAATGAGCAACTTATTAAAATCTTGCTTCATATATGGAACTTTGGTATATAGTCTCAAACTTGATGAGAAAAGGTTGGGCATATATATAGGGAAGGCCTTGCTACTCCAAACATGAATTGCCTGATAAAAGATCGATTTATAGCCTGCTCATTGCACCCGATTGATTCCATCATTAAAAGCATTGTTTTTGTACGTGCTCTAATATAAAATATGCTTTTGTTACATATTTTAACTATATGAGCTAACAATCATGAAAATTCTTTCTTATCTGAGGCTCGAATTAGGTGAGTGAGGTTTTTATTCTTGTTGCACACTACACTCAAGTATTGCAATCAAATCTACATGTATTAGGGAAATATATACAAATTCCTTGTAGGCTAGAGCATAACTTTTTGAGTTGCTCGGGATCTAGTTCAACGCATACACCGTGTATGTCTCTTAAAAGGTCATGGTTGTACTCGCTACACTTATTTTATTTCATGTATTTCCTTCAAAAAATATAAATATAGGATTTTGGTAAAAGTACTTGTTGATGTTGACTTCGAGTTCTCGGTATTGAGAGTAATATTAATATTAAGCCACACATATACAGGAACAAGCATCGGTATAGGAGTTGGCAGTGCAGTAGGCTTTATGCTTTTGGTCCTCGCGACAATCTTCGTGGTCCAAAGGTTTAAACATAAGAGACAGATACTTTTGAAACAAAAGTTTTTCAAGCAAAATCGTGGACAGTTGTTGCAACAATTAGTGTCCCCAAGGATAGACATCGCAGAAAGGATGATCATTCCAATAGATGAACTTGCAAAGGCAACAAATAACTTTGACAAAGCACGTGAGCTTGGGGGTGGAGGCCATGGTACAGTCTACAAAGGGATCTTATCGGACCTACATGTTGTGGCCATCAAGAAGTCAAAGATCACTGTCCAGAAAGAGATAGACGAATTCATAAATGAGGTAGCCATCCTCTCACAGATCAATCACAGGAATGTAGTGAAGCTTATTGGATGTTGCCTAGAGACAGAGGTACCATTGTTGGTTTATGAGTTTGTTTCTAATGGAACCCTCTATGACCACCTCCATGTTGAAAGGCCAAAATCCCTTTCATGGGTAACTAGGTTCAGGATTGCAACTGAAATTGCGAGTGCTCTTGCCTATCTTCACTCCTCAGTTTCAATCCCAATTATTCATAGAGATATCAAGTCTAGTAACATACTTCTGAATGAATCTATGACATCGAAGGTGTCAGACTTTGGAGCTTCAAGATACATTCCGACGGATAAAACGGGATTAACAACAATGGTTCAAGGAACAATTGGATACTTGGATCCTATGTACTTCTACACAGGCCGCCTCACAGAGAAAAGTGATGTGTATAGCTTCGGTGTCATTCTCATCGAACTGCTAACAAGGAAGAAACCATTTTCGTATTTCTTCCTTGATGGAGATGGCCTTGTTTCTCATTTTGTCAAGCTGCTTGCTGATCAAATGTTGGTCCAAATACTAGATCCGCAGGTCATAGAGGAGGGAGGCAAAGAAGTTCATCAACTCTCCATACTTGCAGCATCATGTATAAAGTTAAATGCTGAGGACCGGCCTACAATGCGACAGGTGGAACATACACTCGAAGGCCTCATTGTATCCAAGAAATTTATCCAAAACAATGTGGAAGTTGAGAAAATCTTAGAGAATGGCATTACTATGATGAATTGCTCGTTGAAAGAAGGCAGAAAAAGCCCGCCAGAATGCAGCAGAAGATATAGCATGGAAGAAGAAATATTGATGTCTGCAAGGTACCCTCGGTAGAGACGCCAGCTTTGTATCACGTGCATAATCATTATAGCTAGATTACTCACTTCTATATTCACAAAAAAATGGGGATTACTTGCTTGTATTTATGTGTTGTTCTAGACTAGAACCTCTGTTACTGTCGCTTTTTCTGTTATAATGATATACAGTTGTCATACTTCTGATTTTGTCCCGCTGAATAGCTAGGGAGCTACACATGCATCTTTTGGTAAAGGCCAAGTTTTGTTGATCGATAATGCAACAAAGGCAATACAAACATCATGAGTACATACCCCGTCTCTGTATGAGTATGATGCACACAACCAAGATTACACCAATGCACACACACACACACACAATATATAGGGGGGAAAAGGCCTCCAAGGTCCATGCATAGGTCAGTTTTACTTGTATTGCTTACAATCACATTAAAAGACGCGGTTACAACATTCGATATACGAGCAGCCTCTAGCAACTCACTGAGACGCTGACAAGGTGAAGATATTAAGGGACACCAAAGGTAAGGTAAAACCCTGAGTATGAGATGGCAGAATGCGGGGAAAAGTACCCCCAGAAGGAAAATGACGTGTTCACCAATTTTCATTTTGGACAACTGAAGCTGATGATGTTCAAGTGTGCAGGCTTGGTAATCGGCACAAACAGTGCTGATAAGAAATCATTAATGGACACGAAATTGTAAACAAGCCCTACCCAAATGGAGTCATCGAGTAGAGTCTTGAGAGCTGAGAGAGCCTGTGGGTTCCAAATTGGCTCACTTCTGGTCTGTGTAGACAGCATCAACATCATCCAATTCAAGCAACTTCAATACAAGGTCCTTGTTAAGTTCCATGGCCTCGTCATCCACCTGTGATAAAAAGTGAAAATGGGTATTGTCAGATCTCTTTCCAGATATATATGAAGCTCCTAGGAATTATTTAGCCGTTGAATACATGACAATCCAATGTTGCTAATATGGATAACATGATGCAATGATCTATGAGTTGCTTTCAGACATGCTTTTTTATCTCACTCGGGTATGCTATACCGAAACTCGACTGGACGATAAGGTAAACCTAAAGTGCCCAGTCCTGATTTTATCACATCCTGCCAATGATTGAAGCAACTTATGAAGATGCAGTAGTCCTAACTTAATTTAACTAACATCAATGAGAAAACGAGCAGCTGCACCAGGTGGAACATGGCAGCACACGAGGTACATCATAAATAAACCATCCAACTCTAGCGATATATGAATTTCTCAAATATATGGATAGAAGATTCAAGTTTCAGAGGAACATGTGGTAGCATGTGCTCATTAATTTTCAACTCGTACAAACTTGACCACAATAAAAGGAAAACCAAATACCTCAATCGGATTGAGAGGCAGCAGTTCATAACCATTATCCGTTTCAAATTTCAGTCCTTCCTCTTGTAGCTTTGATAGCACAACAGGATAGTTTTCAGATGTAGTAACTATCTTGTAAAATCTGAAAGAAAGAGAGCAATTGTAAGAGCAGTCTGTGCTCTGAAGAGACATCCGTTGCTAAATGTAGAGAACTAAAAAGAAAAGGACCAGGAATATCACATGCCGTTCTCTGACTTTAAACATAACTTCTCTGTATGCATGCAGTGTCTTATGGAAGTTACAACAGCAGACAGTATCTAACTTGTGTTAATTTACCAGTTGTAAGATACTACGAAAATGAAGATCAAATCCACTGGGTCGGAGTTTAACATTTCTAGTTGATATCAGTAGGGTACCTCTCTAGAACCTCTTCTTCAGAGTCATCTTCATCATCAAAATTTGGTTCAATAACATCATCAGCACCAGCATCCAAAGCAACCGAGAGTAGTTGGTCCTTATCAGCATCTGTAACTTTTATGTTAACCACTCGAGCTTGTCTGAATCTGAATGTAACAGACCCAGAATCAGCCAATTTTGCTCCACAGTCTTTTACAACATTTCTAATATCCGCAATAGATCTTGTAATTTTGTCTGTAAGGACCTCGACGACCATGCCTACTCCACCAAAACCATAGACCTGTTGAAATGTTTCAGGCACTTGGAAACTTTCACAAGATACAAAATATGACCTGCATACTTATTAACTCCTGAACACAATTTACCTCATATCTTGTAACTAGTATTGCCTACCAACATCATATATTTGTTTATTTTGGAAGAGAACTGTAGGAGTGACCCCTATATACAATTAGGAACCCAAATTTGAATCCATGAGGATTTAAACCTAGGTGGGTTGAACAGGCTTAAAACCCAGGTGGTAGGGTTTTACATCCATTTCCCCAACCAAATGAGATGGGTACACTTTCTACCAACATCACATATCATACTGCCAAATGAACCTGATGATAAGGTCCACATTAAACTAGTGATAGAGAATTGTACCTCATAAATCTTTTCTGTGTAAGTATCCTGACCCTTCTCTGAAGCTCTTTTGATGTTACGCTCAACAACTTCCTTGGGGACATCAAGCTCTCTTACTTTCTCTAGTAGCGCTGCTAAAGCTGTGTTGGATGAAGGACTTGGACCGCCCTTCTTGATGCTGCATGATACCCATTTGAATATATAAGGAGCCAAATTAATTAAAATATATTATAATGCCTGATCTTGTCATGCCATTTCGAATATACATTTAAGATGTAGGGTCAAAAGGATATGAAAGCTCATCTTTAAGGGACTAGTCACATTCAATGGGTAATATAGAGGTAATGACCAATCACAACAGGCAATGGCAATATACCCTAACAAGATATCCACAATTAAAACACATTATGCTACTCCCTCCGTCCCGAAATACTTGTCGGGGAAATGGATAAAAATGAATGCATCTAGAACTAAGATACGTCTAGGTACATCCATTTCTTCGACAAGTATTTTAGGACGGAGGGAGTACTCAACAAGGACACGTTAGTAGACATATTAGGAAATTATAGGCAAGTTCATGGATTAAAAAAAAAACAGGCTGCGGCAAAGATAATTTTAGGCAATACAAGCTCACAGGGACCGTAACACCTACGCAGCAACGATTTCTTTTCCGATTTTGCTGTTGCGCTTCATCTTTTTCAAATTCTGAGCACCCTGAGCCAAAGAAACAGCTGGTATAAGAATATGCATTAAGAGGCGAAAGATAAAACTGCACTTTTTTGTGTGAGAAAAGATAACTAAATTTAGCTAGCAAGCATCAAATGTTGTTCCTGTTAATCTCGTCAACATCTGTCCTTGTGCAATGCACAATGGACATGAAAATTAGCATCAGAGCTAAGTCAGAAACAACTGAAACATGACATTCTTTTGTAGAGTACAACACTGGCACACACGGTATACGCACTTCCGTAGAAGCTAGAGACAACCAAAATTTGCACAGAGGGTTGACCCTGAATCTGAACTACTGCGACATGATGCAAAAGAGCGTGCCAAGAACAGGTCACCTTCCTCCCGGCGATCTTGCAGGAGCGCCGCCCCATGCAGAGCGGCTGGAACGTCCAAATCCTCCGCCTAGCCACGTGCCCCTGGAACAAGCTGGCGCCACCAGTTGGGTCACTCCCTGATGGCACCGAAAACATAGTCAGAAAGACCAATACCCAAGGGGCTGGATCGGACGAGGGGAGCAGAGGGTCGGTGGCCGTGGCTTACTGTGTACAAGGGAGGCGCTCCTGAGAGCAGAGGCGGAGGACGAAAACGAAGAGGCCCTGTGGAGGAGCGCGCCCAGAGCCCGCGCGGCGGACGCCATGGACGGCGGCGGCCGCAGGAGCAGCGGAGTGGAGCGCGCGCGGCTGGTGCTCGACGGATTGCCGCCCCGGGCAGCGGCTGGGTGGGAGGAGTTGTGCTGGGAGCGAGACTGGATCCGGGGGATTGGAAAGGCACGGTTCAGATTTGTCTCGGTCTACCCTGAGTCGTCGGATCAACCTTCGGTCTTCCGCCCTCCAAAGCCTTTTACAGTAACGTGCAGCACTCTGGATATTGTTTTTGGCTCGCAGGAGTATATGCTCTGCACGTCAAAATGTGAAAAAAAAAAGTCTGTTCATTGTCACAAATGATACCTTCAAATTTATAGGGGGAAACTTAAGCATGTTGACCTGTGCAAAAAAAGAAAAACAAGCCGAACGATAATTGTTTCCTTCAAATGGTATACTTAATTTTGTTTGTTTTGCCGATGAAGCACTGCTATCATGTTTTGCATAAAAATTGGCAAGCGCATTTTTTAACTAACATGAACACTTATAAAAGAAGAACAGAATTTTTAAAATTTATTTCCTATTTGTTTCTAATTTACTGATCACAACATGCTTTTGTGACATGGAACATGCGCGGCACTTTTTTTTTGCAAGGGGAATGTGCAGCACTCAGCGATGCTTTGAGACACGGGTTGTATGTTTGTCCAAGAAGCTAGTGATTTTTCATGAATCTCACCATCCTTCTTTATTTCTATAAAATCCAAACTATTTCAAATATGTTCCGCAGTGAAGTTTCACAAATTATGTTGATATGAAAAAAGTTCTAAATATCTTCCACCTAGGATCATCTCAAAATCTTACGTTACTAATGGGTTTCAAAAGATTGGTCGTATCCAAAAAATATGTTTGTGAAGCGGGCTCGCGAGTGTGGTGGTGTGGATGTTTGTCTGCGTCTATGTTGTACTCGACGTTTCTCATTTCCGCCTCTTTCATGTTCTTTACTCTTTTATTGAGTCACCTAGTTTTCACTAGCTCCTCTCGCGTCCTCCTCTGGCAGCTTCACTGGCTGGATTCGAGATGGGAGGG